ATGAAATATTCGTCATGTCGAAAAATACTAAAAAGAAAAGTTGAGAGACCTTCATAAAGTTTATTTTATGTTACAATATTTAGTATAAAACCTACGTATAGATGTGAGAAAATATTAAAACGGGTATGAAAATCTATGCGAGGACTGGGATTGGATTAATATGGCTCAGAACAGGTCCAACGGACAGCTGTTTGTGAACTATGAGCCAACATCCCCTGTCCAAGGAGTCATACCGAAAAACTAAAATATTAACACTTTCATTACAAACTGTCTGAACTGCAAAACTAGAAAAAGACTAATCTGTGACAGTCGAGGAAAATGTTTTGTTACAATGGACGGTTTGACGTAGACCTACGTTGCCACGGAAACCTGCGAATGTCTAACAAATATCGGACTCCTCTGATTCTGTTTGTGAAGCACTGCATAGCTCGCAAATACACGAGAAATTTAGGGCTTCCTTAGTGGTGGAAATTTCCGTTTCATGTATTCAACGGCAGTCTCGCAGTATCCGATACAAAGAATCGCAATTTATAGCAAAGGTACATAATCTCATGTCTCACCCACGTACGGGTCTTAGAACCGTTTTCCTCTGAAGCAGGTAAGTCACGTTGTGTTCCGTTTTATTTTCGTTAGATTGTACAAGTCACTATTGGCGCGGCGCCCAAAGACAATACCTACGTAGAAATTGGGTACAGGGAATTGGCTACCTTCCGAAGTATGCCGAGGGTTGTAGACAACATATTAGTGTATCTGAGTGCATATTTTAAGTCACTAATGTAACCATGTTCTCAAAAGGCAGGCAGATATTCAACGACGCAATTATGCTCTGGCCTAAGGGCATCTGATAGTTCATATTGGCGTCAGAATAATTACTTATTCTTGTCTCACGTGTCATACTACCCCTTAACCACGAAATAAACTTCTAAGCCTGTGATTTCGAGAGATTAAAAATGTTTATAAAAACACGTGTCTTTCAAACGATTTTAAATGTTAGTTGGTTTTGTTATTACAGGGACCCACTCCACGTTTAGACGCTGTAAGAAGTTAATCTGGATTTTATTCAGGACTAAACAAAAGAAGCAAGCGATTTGATCTCGTGCAAACGCAACGCTGCAGGCCACAGCTCTGTTGTAACTTATGTGTTACGTATTTATTTATCTTCCAGTCAAAATTCAGATACATGACAAATTATAATCTTTAATGCTAAAGTAAGACGTAATTATTTTCAGTCCTGAATGTACACGCATCATATAAACGTACGTATTAAACTATAAAGAGGTGCTTCGTCACTTACCTAATTTCCATCAACTGTCCCTCGCTCGGCCATGTTTGTCTCGTGACCATCATGCAACAACATGGAAGTTTACAAAGTCGGCTTCATATTACGTCTTTAACTTGTCTTACACCAAACGATTCTCATACACAGAACGTAATGCAATACTACACCGAAATTTTACAATTTATATCAGGTATATCGCATAACAACAAATTTCCAAGCCCTCATCCGCGCACATGATCACCGTCACAACGTAACCTCAAACACTGCACTTACTATCATCGTAAATACGTCACAGACCAGACCAGAGTTACCCTCACTCCAGGGCTCACCCCAACGTCTTCTGTGGTGCATGGTTTAGTTACTGTACTGGCCGCTGGCCATGAATTGATTCTGGCAGGGCGATCACAGCTAACGCCCGATCCTTGAACAAATCTCCGTTTTCGGAACCAATAGCAAGTTGGATATTAATGTCAAGAAGGATAAACAGACTTGAAGGGTAAATCAGCTTGTCTGTGTGACGAGACAGTAACTTCTGAACCAAATGGATGACATTCATTAATCTCTGGAAACAAAATTTTACCCTTCGTAGTTCAACAGACATCGAAATATTTTTATCTTGCTTATTAAATTATATTAATATAATGACTATGTGAATTTTGGTGGAATGGTACATTTCAGTGAATAGTACGCAGCCATAACGAATTACAATAATAATAATAATAATAATAATAATAATAATAACGACCCCAACTCACTGTAGCCGCCCATCTCGTGGTTCGAGCCGTGGCTACAGTTTCAGCTGGGCTGCAAGCATCCGAGTTATGACGGCAACACGCCTGAAGTTTTTGGATGCTTGTGGACCAATTAAACAATTGATCATAATAATAATAATAATGTTCTATTAGCGTACGTACAAGCAGAAGTGGCTATAACAGACGAGTACTAAAATAAATAAATTATAATGAAACAATTGAAATGTCACGAAAATGGCTGTTTTATGCGATGCTGCGCTATATAATCTGGTGGAAAATGACCGACGTTTCAGAGGTGCTTACCGCCCCCAATCACAGAAGACACGTGTTTATTTACAAGATATCTTAAATGAAAAAAATTAGCAGCTGTTGTGCTATGTTATTAATTGCAAAATATAATAAACAAAAAATTTAGTCCGTATTTGAAAGTTCCGGGCGGTGGCGAGACGCAGTGTTAAATTGTTTGTTTCCATTCTGCCCGTAGTTTAAGTGCCATTAAAACCGCCGTGTTGCGAAAGCCTATCTTGTGGGCCCCCCTGGCCGAGCGAGTCTCGTAATTTAACTTCAATTCACGCGCTTTTAAATAACCTAAAGCACTGCAACCCTACCGAAAACTGCGAAAGGGCGATATGACATTTTTACAGGCAATTTGAAATTTAGATGCAAATTAACAGAGTTACATTTCGAGATTCTCTCTTTTAAGAAGATACATTACAGCGCCCCTAAGGGTTTTTTTTTCCAGAAATTGTAAACAATTTGTTAATTATTCAGTTTTATTTATTTTAATACATTGTTATTCTGGTATTTAGTGTAATTAATGATATACATTTAAGATTCTCTTTAATGTTCATTATTAGAATTAGGCAAAATATTAATTTGAGGTAAAATACAACTGAATTCAGCCCGCACATCCCGTATACTATTTTAATCTCCACCGTAGTACATCATAAATAACATGAAACAGACATATTATAACTTTGGCGTATTTGTGTGAAAATATTAAATGGCCTACACTGCTTTAAAAAAATCCGAAAGTTGTTGACTTTCTTCTCATAAAAGACAATATTCCGTAAATATGTTCGTTGTTTTACTCGCATTCAGTCTAATTTTTAGCCACAATTACTCTTTAAAGTATTTCATTGTGTTGGAAAAGAATTCATCCATCTAATCGCTTTCCTCTTCTTGTTGAGATGCTTTACAAAAAAGAACTTAAGCCGAACTGTTCGATTTTGTTCTTCTGAGTTATAACATCGTGCAAATTTGTAGGCAGACACCAACGTTTAGTAGGAACACACTGCCTCCACCTTCAGGGCAACATCATCATCGCTGCAGCAGTGAGAACCTCATACGCCAACCGATTTTCTGCAAGAGTTTGAATCTGTTTCAAGTTTTCTGTCATAAAGTTCTAAATTCTGGCATTTTGAAGAATTGTTGTACCAACAATCTCGCGTTCTTGTGTCGTATTACAACTCGCTTCTGATTTTTGTAATGGCTGACACATTATTTGAGGGCTGAACTGACGCACGATATTTGCATTTCAATATTAATTTAACAAATTTTAAAACCACACGATGTTTCGAAAACTGGTTCTGCTTCCGTCATCAGGTGAAACCATAAAAACTTTTTTTTTGGATCAAATGGAAAGAGTTTGTTGATCCGCAGTGCCGAATTATTCCATAAACCAGTTTCATTCGTCCATTCTTACGTCTGAATCACATGTTACATCGAACCACATACATAAACATGCATAAATCACAATTTTATTGGGCCCCAGAAGTGAGAGAAGCCGATACGGGATGAGACCAAAAAATCTGGCCCACCTTGGCAGTCCTTAAACAAACAAGCGTGGGAGAGGTCAAAAACCACGTCGGTCGAAAAGCTTGAAGGGAAGAAACCCCTTGGAAGACCTAGGCATAGGCAGGATGATATTAAAATTGACCTTAAAGAAACAGAGTGGGGCAGTGTGTACTAAATTCACTCGGATCAGTATACGAACCAATGGCGAGCTATTGCAAACACGAAATAATTCTTTTTAAGGTTTTATAAAAGGCGGGAAATTTCGTGACTATCCGAGTGAATATCAAGTCTTCAAAACGGACTTCCAACTTCTTACAACCTGTAAATTAAAGTCACTTCCTGACTACTAGATCGAAAATCATATAAATATTGGTTCTTGTCCAATCGAAGATTAGGCCATAATATTCCACTATTAAAACCCAGAAATCGTTCGAGATGTCCAAATATTCATATGAACAATCAAAATGGCCGCATTCAAGTGACCTTGCAAATTACAGCTCTACGTCTGCGTACGGACACACGTCAGTACTCCGACTTCCTAAAGGATGATTCATGTTACAAGTGTCTCTAAATTTCAGGGACTGCTCGGTCTCGGACCCCTCGTTCTTGCTACAGCCTCGTTTCCTCTTCTGGGAACTGCTGGTGCTAAATGCTCGGGTCCTGACGTCATACCTCGCTGTGACTCCACGTCCCCCCTGCAGACTGCATCGTACTAAAAGTACT